GTCGGTTCAGCTGCTGAGATTGCTATTGATAATGCGGCTCTTCGATTTGCAGCCAGTGCATATTTCATTCCGATCGGAATAATCGCCAACACATTCACAGAACCATTTCCTGCATCTACCTCAATTTCATCAACTTCCTCTACTACTTGATCATCAGACAGCCCAATGTGGTGAAGTCTAGCTCGCGCGGCACTAAGATGTTTCAGGCCACTTATGTCACTTATATCCTTCACCTCAATCTCAGTCAGCCACGATTCGCCCTTCTTCGCGAGATATAGCTCTAATTTGCTGGCAGCAAAATCAAACTTCTGCTCTTCTTTAATGGCTTCTTTCAAGTCACCCACCGACTGGCTAGTGTCGATATCCACAGGGAATGCATTTCCGTTCTCACCGACAACTGCGCAGAAAAGCGTCACCATGTTTTTCTTGCTGATACCTTTTTTAGATGTGGACCAGGTCTCGCATCTTAGTCAATCAAATGCAACAACATCAATCAATTACATAATTATTGACTTGTTTGATGGGTTGTTTAAGTGATATATTGATCAATATTCAATTTAGATTTTTTTTTTCATTTAACCAATATAATAAAATGAGGGTTATTATGCAATTTTAGATGTATCCAAAATTTTAAGACCCTAACACGCATTTGAAAAAATAAATCAAAATGCTAAAGCAAATTCAATTACTTTTACCTCAAATCAAGCGAGTGTTGGCTCAAAATTCAAGTGAAGTTTTTTATCTCTGAACCATGATCATAATAATGATAACTCGACTGTGTCATGGGTACGAAGGCATCGTCATCTTCCGGTATTAAACGAGCTGTGGTACGAATAGTAATAGCATAGGTACCTAGACTGGTTCCCATACGAACAATGCTCAACACCACTGACGAGTAATATTTGAATTCAAGCAGATCTCAAATGACAAATGCTGGTTCATCAATGGATCAAACGATTCGTAATCTAATCTCCATTCCGCAGATTAGATTTGAGAGCATCGAAATGACATCAATCGACAATTACAACACCAAAGCGTCACAATGGGGTCAGGGGTTTTCAGTTTTACAACGCTTTAGCTCGGTTTGAACACAAACTTTCCCAGCGGCAGACTTCACTACTTCAAAATAAATTTGATCAGCTATCGAGATTTAACAATCAATGAAAAAGAGACGCTGAAGTGAAATTATGAAATCGGTGAAAATTGTACAGTGCGTCATACAGAAGCATACAGACTTCTCAAATAAAAATCTGCAAAGGGAAGTGCTAATTATGAAGCTACATTTTAAGAAATAAAGAAGGAAAATTGCAGCCGATCAGCAACAACAGATGATGAAACTGCCACAACCAGTAAAACAATTCAATCAAATATAAGTACTCTATAGACGTTGCGGGAATTTTGAGAGAGGATAAATGCGGAAGTAGCGCCTGTGCAAACAACTTCGACACCGGAACCGACAAGATTATTTTGTTATCAAGATAGTTCGGCTTCACGAACGTCAAAACGGTAAGCCAGACGTCAACCCTGAGGAAAATACAGTCGCTTTTCGAGACACCTTAAGAGGGGTGAGCCCAATGTATACGATGATAGCAATCTCGCACTCGATTGGTTTAGGTGTGAACATATAGACTAATAAGCTTTGTGCAAAGAAAGAGAGTGAAATCATGCGTTTGAATGATTGAATCATCAGTTCAAGAATCAAATGCACACGCTCAGCGAGAACTACCTATGACCAAGGGTCTTTTTTCCACCGAGAAGGGATGACGAGACGCCTTGTTCAATTTAAACACAAAAACAATTATTGCAGAGCAAGAGAAAGTGTCTACGTAAAACTGGAGTTGATGTAACGTAGACTCTTTCGAAGCTGTCGACGCGTTTAAAGGAGTTAATGTAACGTAGACTCTTTCGAAGCTGTCGATACATTTAAAGTGGCCTGTAAGCCTTTTGAAAGTGAGCACATTCGCCTAGCGGATCTTCACAACGATGAGTCTGATTTGTAGCATCACAATTAAAATGCAGATATGAACAAGTTTCAGATGAGTGATGCGTTGGCTAAATTGATCAAAGAATTGACGTTCGATGATAACATCGATCGACAGTTGTAGAATTCTCTCCCTCATTTAAAACATAACGTATTTGTAAAGGTGTTCAAGTCAACGTTTTCGTACTTCAAGTCCAATAAAGCGTCTCATTCCTCACCATAATAAGCTCCGGGGAGAGGTTGCCTCAGAAACAACAAACCATAGATAATTCGTAAGCTGAAGCTTATCGCGGTGGATATATACGCTCAGATAATAATATCGGATACGAAGTTTGGATACGAAGTTTGAATACAATATTGTAAATCTGCCTTGACAGAGCCGAATCTTGGCGACCAGACAAATTGTGTTCATAGCTGATATAGATATGATCATTCTCACTTCGAAACGATCGAGCTATACCTAATATGACATTAGTTAGCGTTATATTCACGATAAACTTGAGTACGCGATGAAAAAATCATTATCGAGGAAAGCGACACAAAAAGATCGTGGGGTCACCCTAGCGATCCGCTCGACATGGCTCCAAAAAACCTGGCAAAAGAGTGGCTCCAGTAAAAAAATACGATGCATCCTTGTGGTGTATATTGATACACATAGTTGGGCCTCAGGTAAGATAGCTCAAACAATTATACTATCAGATTGTTAAGTTTCATAA